TGATTATGATCTTTACAGATGGAATAGTCGAGTAGGTAAATCTAGTTTAGGTCAGTTGTTTGGAGATTGAAATCTAAAGATGAGATTTTCTGACTTTCAACAACACATAGACTATAACATGTTCTTCTTAACAAACTTAAGAAATTGAATCCATATACCCAAATTATAATATTATATGTGTACAATAAAGCTTGAGCTTTCCCTCTAGAGAACTTAGTTAAATGCCCCGACTTTTTGGATAAGATTCAGCTAGCCTGATAAAGGTGATTATAATATCTATACAATAAAGTTTGGATAAGATTCAGCTAGCCTGATAAAGGTGATTATAATATCTATACAATAAAGTTTGAGTTGTCTCTCTAGAGCAATTGGTTAAACGCCCCGGCTTTATGGATAAGATTCAGCTAGCCTGATAAAGACAAATTACAATAAAGCTGAATTCAACTAGCCAGACAATGACAAATTAAATCAAATTTATCTAAATAAGGAGTTTCGGTAAAGATGGACTTAGGGAGTTAAGGAACACCTGTTATAGTCAATTTCACACGAGCACTCAGGAATTTCATTTTTAGACCGATATTTTTGCACTGCCTTTGCTAGAGGAGTCTACGAAGCTTGAACAAATGAAAGATTTCAGAGAATCTAAATAGAAGGTCTAGTAATTGATTATGCTAAGTTGCGTCATTTTGTCTGCATCCGATTAAAATACCAAGCCAAGAAAGAGGGGCATGTTGTAATATTCAACAGGACCGAGAAAAATGACATTTTGGGGGCCAAAACCTTAGAAATAGGAAGCCAACTTGAAGCCAACTCATCAATTTGGATATTTTTCAAAGAGCTACAGCTCTGAAAGCATCAAAGAGCTATTGATTCTTTTGATTTTCTGTGAACTCATGTTTATGACTTGATTCGATTGTGAGCCTGAATTAAGGGGAAATGTTTTACAAAATTCATATATTCTTTTTTTCCTAAAATAAAAGAAAGAAGAAAAACATTTTTAAACATGACATTCTCAAACGTTCAATAAGTTTTTTCAATCTCAATTCTACCTTTATAATTGAGGCCCATAAGTTTTTTTTCAATCTGCATTATACCTTTATAATTGAGGCCCCTAATTTTTTCAAACTCGATTTCTACCTTTATAATTGAGACCTTAATTTTTTTTTCAATTTTATAAAATTCTCAATTTCTCATCCCTTTCTCAATCTCTCTTATTAATTCATTTTGAATTAAATCTAATTATATTTGTCTCTTTTTTTAAATCTTATTTTTTAATTTACCAAATATTCTTCAACTCTTTGTCTTCTCCAATCTCAATCTAACGATAATATAATATATTATTTTTTATTTTTTAATTTATCATTCAAAATCAAGATTCATATCATTTCGTACCCACGTTCGATTTTTTATTATCTTAGTCGTATTTAAGGTGTTTTCAATGAAACTAATGTTTGAAAAAATTTAATCTTTTTTCTATGATATTAAATTAATTTTTAAAGTAATAGAATATACTTTGGTTCTATAAGAGTCTATTTTGAGTTTTCGCTACTCAGGGTCCCAAAAGTATTCGAGACGACTCTGTGAATAATCAAAGTATATGTTAAATTTAGAATATTTCATTTTAAATTCAACATATCAAATTTACTTTGTAAATCATCCATGTTAAATAAAATATAATCATCATAATATAAAAATATTTATACAAAATTAAAACTCCAAATTATAGTACTGTGTAAATCAAAATAATAATATAATTTCATAGATTAAAACGCGAGTAAAACCGTAATATGTGTTGATTCGCCGGTGTAATATAACTTACTATTGACGTAAGAATATATAAAAAGGACAAATTATGTGTTTAGTACTTAAACTATTAATTTTGATTTGTTTTAGTACAGAAACTTTTAATTTTTTTCAAAATATATAATATTTAGTTTTTGTTTCGTTTTAGTACCTTGCCGTTAAGAACTTAATGGGTGATTTGCACGTGACACCTTTTTTATGGGTAAATTGAATCATTCGTCACTCAAGTATCTTCTCACTCCTATTTTGGTCACTAAAATTTATTTATTTTTAATTTAAATACTTAACTTTCAAATTATTCATAATTTAAACACTCTAACTTTCAAATTTATTTTTATTTTTAATTATATACTAATAAAATAATAATGAAAATATCATGTCACAAAATTATTAATAAAATAAATTAGAGTTATTAAAATATGAGCAATTTGAAAGTTGAGTAGTTAAATTGAAAATTTTAAACTTTAGTACCAAAACAGGAGTGAGAAGATAGTTTAGAGATGAATGATGTAATTTACCCATAAAAAATATTACGCCATTAAGTGTTTTACGACGATGCATTAAAACGATACAAAAACTAAACTTTAGGTATGATTTTGAAAAAAAATAAAAAATTAACTACTAAAATAGACCAAAACTGATAATTTAAATATCAAACACATAATTTACCCTGGATAAAAACGAGGTGTAATTATATCCCCTATTCTTTACAAATAAAATAGGCAATATTTGGTTGAGAATTTTATTTAGGGCATGTTTGTTTCCTGTAATTTGTTTTTCAAAAAATATTTTCCTCATTTTCTAGTGCTTGGCTGGTGGAAAACAGATGATCATTGTAATTCATTTTCATGATCAACTAATTTTCCTTTGCATTTTTTTAAAAAATAACTTATGGTCTGATTTTCTGTAAGTCATTTTACGAATTTTTCAATTTAAAACATAAAAACTTAAAACATTATTATTTTATATTTTTAATTTTATTATATTATTTTAATATCATTTTAATAAAAATATTAATTATAAAATTATATTTATTGATAATTTAAATAATATAATATAATATTTTTATTGTTATAATTATATTATTATAATATATAATATTATACTTTTATTTTAATAATATATAATAAATTATTAATAAAATTAATATTATTTATGAATTTCATAAAATTAATATTATTGATTTATTGAATATTTCAAATATACTCCTTAAAATATAATATAATAATTTTATTTTAAATAATTTTATTTTAAGATTTTAACAATATTATTATTTTCATAAGTAATTAATTAATATAATTATTAATATATTATTCTTATTTTAATAAATAATTAATATAATTTATAATAATTTTATTTTAAAAAATATAATAAACTTAATATATTTATTTATAAAATTATAGATATAATATTTTTAATAATAATATTAACATAAATAATATTAAATAAAATGTTCTAATATTTTAAAAAATATTATTATTGTTTTATTGATAAATAATATTATTTATTGTTTTTGATGTTTATACTAAAGATTTTTTTAAAAATTTAGGAATTAGTAGAAAATGAATTAGACAACATCATCCAAACACTATAAAATGATTTCTAGATATTTTTCAGGAAATGTAATTCATTTTCTGAAATCTATTTTCCGTGAAACAAAAATAATTTTAATGTAATCGACAAGGATAATTTGTGGATAAATGTATAGTTTTGTATTTTTAAAAAAAATATTTTAGACATGTGTAGATTTCTATTTATTTAAATATTTAAACCATAAATTATTTAAAAAGTTTACAATCTAGAAAAATAATCAAGATTTATCATAAAAATTACTTAAATTATTCTAAAATAAATTTTATAGAATTGAAAATAGGATGAGTAACAAATGGTCTCCGATTATAAGGTACTACTTTATTAAGTGTCTCGACTATTAAAAGTTATAAAATAGTCATCAAATAATAGAATGTTGCTTTATTAAGTTATTAAAAGCTACAAAATGATCACCTGACTTTTTATTACTGAGATATGATAGTCGATCAGTTTTTTATCATATCACAGTCAATAGGTTAATGTTCAACTCAGAATACCGTCAAATTTTTAACAGAAAAGGACGAGTTTGAAATAATGAATAGTTAGGTGACCATTTTTGTAACTTTTAATAGTTGAGAGACTCAACAAAGTAACAATTGATAGTTGAAGGATCATTTTGTAACTTTTAATAGTTGGGGGCTTAATAACGTAGTAACTTATAATCGATGGTCCATTTGTGTACTTAACCCATAAAAACAACATATTGATAATGTTTGGTTTTAAAATTTAGGGTAAATTACGCATTTAGTATCTAAACTATCAGTTTTGGTCTGTTCGAGTACCAAAAGTTTCGATTTTTTTCAAAATCATATCTAAAGTTTAGTTTTTATTTCGTTTTAGTACATCGCCATTAAAAACTTAAAAGGTATTTTGCACGAGACACCTTTTTTATGGGTAAATTGTATCATTCATCACTCAACTATCTTCTCACTCTTATTTTGGTCACTAAAATTTAATTTTTTTTAATTTAATACTTAACTTTAAAATTACTACTAATTTAGTCACTCTAACTTTCAAGTTTATTTTTTAATTATATATTAATTAAATAATAAAAAAATGTAATGTCAGACAAATTATTAATAAAATCAATTAGAGTGATTAAAATATGAGTAATTTAAAAGTTGAGTAGTTAAATTGAATTTTTTTAACTTTAGTACCAAAATATGATTGAGAAGATAGTTGAGTGATGAATGATGTAATTTACCCATAAAAAATAGTGAGGTACTAAAATGAAATAAAAATTGAACATTAGATATAATTTTAAAATAAATTAAAATTTTAGATATTAAAGCAAACTAAAACTGATAGTTTAGATTCTAAACAAATAATTTACCTTAAATGGGTAATAGAAATCGAGCTAAATGAGGCATAAAAATGTTTAAAATATAAAATCTTTAATTAGTATTTAAAAGCTTGCCTAAATCCTTTGATTTCACCGAATTAAATTCAATACCAGAATAGAACATTGGAAGAGAATTAATTTGCATAACTGAAAGAGAAAAACTCAAAAGGGTCGAACCAAACCCATTTTTTTTCTCTTTACATCAACAACGGATTGGAATCCAAGCCGGTCCATTTCATCCTTTTCCCTCCTCTCGGATTGGTTAATGGTTACCATGAAAATTTGGCTCTTTAGCGATTTTGACCACCCATACTTTTATTTGGATCTTGACCCAAATTTCTTCCATAATCCAAGCTCGGATCCAGTCTCTATTTCTCCCTTCCCCCCTTCTGCTATCAACGAAATCCAAACCCTAATAACTTCTCGGATCCTCCGATCGGACCCGCCTGTGAAGCCAAGCTTTTTTTTCTCTGCTACTAAATCTGGGTATTTTTTCCTGGGTTTAGTATTATTTGTGTGATTTTGGTGCCTTCTTAGCGTTCAGCTTTGTTGGGATTTTTATAGAAATCGTTATCTTGAACTGAGTGTAAATATGGTGACTTATGTACGTTTGTTGTTGTTGTATTATTACTAGTACTTATTTGCTTTATTTTGATAAGACAACTTATTTGGTTTCATAATTCAGTTAATTTAGTTCGCCTTTTTCTTACTACTGTTTTTTTTTCATAGCTGGTAATTTTTTTTAATATTGTTTGATTTTGATTAATAGGCCATATATTTATGTGTGTGTCTATATTATCATGGCTTTAGGTAAATATCATTTTGTTGGGGGGGGGGGAGGGGGGGAAGAGAATTGCCTTTTGGCTTTATCAGAACAAATTTTCTGCCTCACTGTTTTTTTCTCACTGAAAATATTTCAGTATAAAGATTTTGTAAAGTTTTTTTTAATCATTTGATAGCAATTTTAGTATAGAAATGGAGAGGGGAAATGAAATTATAACTCGAAATTTCTCTTTGCTTTCATCAGGCAACTAGAATGCAATTAAATCAACACAAATTAGCATGTTGCAGTGCTTATTCACCAGCTTATTGTTCATATTCTCCTACTGTTTAATAAGAGCCTAATGCATAGTTATGATTACATTCCAGGATCGATGGATAACATTCAACTATCCCGTTGGTGTGTTTTTGATGTTTCACATCCTGAATTTGTAGATGTTTTCTTTATTTCTTAGAAGGCATCCGTTTTAGACATGTGATTTTGGTTCAATGTGCAGAGTTGGACTCATCTTAAACCTTTTTCGATGGAGTTGGCTAATGAAACAGTTACCAAGAGACCGAAGAGGTTGACTTCTGTAGTATGGAATCACTTTGAAAGGGTTCGGAAAGCTGACATATGTTATGCACTGTGTCCATTGTAACAAGAAATTAAGTGGATCGAGCAACAGCGGAACCACCTATCTGAGAAATCACCTAATGCAGTGCTTGAAAAGGTTTAACTATGATGTTTCCCAACAGCTTTCTGCAAAGAAAAGGAAGAAAGATAACACCCTTACCAATGCAAATACCAGTTATGATAAAGGGAAAAGAAAAGAGGATTTTATTAAGCCCGCTATTGTCAAGTATGAACCGGATCAGAGAAAGGAAGAAGTTTTCAATCTTCAAAGCAGTTGGTTCGACCAAGAGAGGAGTCGCCTAGATCTTGCTCGCATGATTATATTACATGGCTACCCCTTAGCCATGGTTGAGCATGTTGGATTCAAGGTATTTGTCAAGAATCTACAGCCAATGTTTGATGTTGCACCAAATAATACCATTGAGGTTTATTGTATGGAAATTTACGGGAAGGAGAGGCAGAAAGTTCATGATATGTTAAGCAAATTGCAAGGCAGAATTAACCTTGCAGTTGAGATGTGATCTTCACCAGAGAACTCTAACCATGCATGCATGATGGCGCATTATGTTGGTGATGATTTGAAACTACAAAAGAAGATTCTTAATTTTGTCACACTCGATTCTTCCCATATTAATGACAAGCTTTCCGAAGTAATTGTCAAGTGTGTGATGGATTGGGACATAGAGTCTAAGTTGTTTGCAATGACATTTGATGATTTTTCTACTACTGATGATACTGTTCTGAGAATAAAAGAGCAAATCTCTGAGAGCAACTTTTTTCTAAGCAATGGTCAATTATTAGATGTGCGGTCAGCTGCACATGTTCTTGATTCACTTGTTCAAGATGCCATGGAAGCTCTCCGAGTGATGATCCAAAATATTCGAGTAAGTGTTCGATATGTTAAAAGTTCACAATAAATTCAAGGGAAGTTCCAGGAGATAGCTCAGGAAACTGGAATTAAATGCCAGAAAAGCTTGGTTCTTGATTTTCCATCCAATGGAATTCAACATATCTAATGCTTGAGACTGCTATAGAGTACAGGAATGCTTTCTGTCAGTTCCCGGATCTGGATCATGACCATGCGTTAAGTGATGACGAGTGGGAACGGGCAAGTTCCATCACTGGCTACTTAAAACTATTTATTGAAATCATTAGCGTCTTCTCCAGCAACAAATGTCCCACTGCAAATATATATTTTCCGGAAATGTCATGTTCACATCCAATTGATTGACTGGTGCAAGAGCCCCGACAATTTTCTTAGTTCATTAGCAGTAAAGATGAAAGCTAAGTTCGATAAATATTGGAACAAGTGCAGTTTGTCTTTGGCAGTAGCAGCTATCTTAGATCCCTGATTCAAGATGAAATTGGAGTATTATTATTCCCAGATTTGTGGCAGCACTACATTGGAACGTATCAAAGAAGTATCTGACGGTCTCAAGGAGCTCTTCAATACATACTTTATCTGCTCAACTTTGATTGATCAAGATTCAGCTTTGCCGCCCAGTAGCTTACCTGGCGGTAGCAATGATGGAAGAGATAGACTAAAGGGCTTTGACAAATTCCTTCACGAGACATCTCAAAGTCTGTCAGATTTGGAAAAATATTTAGATGAGCTAGTCTTTCCTTGTAACTGTGATTTCAATATACTGAATTGGTGGAGAGTTCACACAATGAGGTATCCTATCTTGTCAATGATGGCACGAGATGTTCTTGGAACTCCTATGTCAACCGTCTCACAGGAGTCAGCATTCAATGCTGGAGGTAGGATGCTCGATAGCTCTCGAAGTTCACTGACTCCCGATAAACGACAGGCTTTGATACACACACAAGATTGGTTGCTGATACAATCAGACGGTGCGTACATTATCGTTCTTCTCTTTACACAATCATTTCTAATTCCTTACATATATCTCTTAACAATATGGTATTTTCATAAATGCAATAGGCCCGAGTCCATCTTCAAGCCATTATGCTCTACCCGTTTTTGTCGAAACAAGTTGATTTGTCCCCGGTGAGTCTCGGATAAACTTTCGTTCTTTCCCCCCTTGAATACTATTTCTACGTTTCTAATTTCGGGAGTGCCCTTTTCTTTTCAAGCAAGGTACAACATAGACCTTGGTCTCAAATAAAAAATCCTGGATAAGGTGTTATCTACATGGAATGCGAATTTGCTGAAGGTATTTCAGTGTGGGTTTGCAATTATATGTCTTCATCTCGAAGGTTTTAAATGACATGTAACAACTGAACGCTTAAAGCAATGACTTGATTGATTGTTGATATGGTTATTTGATTTCGGGTTAGAGTTGAAGTAAGAGTAGTAGTAGTAGTTTTTCCAAATGTTGGATTGTGGTTTAGTTTCCTGGCTCTTCATCTTAACAATGAGGGCGCAATTGGCGATAAAGGATAGCGAGGGGCTTATTCTAAGATATTTCAAAGTTGAAATGTTCAGACAAAAATATTGTGATGCTTGTCATTATATTATTATATAATAGATATTTTTGGGACTAAAACAGAAAATGGTACTCCTAAAGAACGTTTCTTTATATAGAGGAATGCCCAAGCAAACTACAACACAACCTAATAATTTTATAGTTTTGTGTAAAATTAAAGACATGCAAGCCTACAGTAACAAAGGATGGAACTGAAAGGATATTCCTGACCATTATATACAGCAAATGCAGAAAGTAGAGGGCAAAACTCGGGATCTCTAGCTGAGAAACTAGGTTAACAGGATCAAGTTCTATTGTTAGGTTCGAAGACATACTTAATCAGAGATTCTTTGATCGGTAACAACCCAGGGAACTCTTTCTTCAACTTGGATGCATCCATTTCATTATTGCTTCGAGGGGCTACTATCACCTTTGCTTGTTCTTCCAATGTGAAATTCACCCACTCAAAGTTGGGGTTTATGTATGTCTTGTACATCTCCAGGATCTCGTTGTGGCTCACGACTCCGGGGTTCGTAAAGTTCCATATGCCTCTCAAGTTCCTCTTTGCCATCTCGATCGAAATCGGTAGAAGTTCGTCTAAGATTGTCATGCTGTTGGGGATGTTGACGACCTTGCTGTAGAGCGATATCTTGGTGATGAAGTTGCGCGGGTTGTTTAGATCGGATGAGATCGGCATTCGAACTCTAAGGGTGCACACATTGTTGTATTCTTTCAACAACTCTTCAACCTAAACAAGATGGGAGGATATTATGAGAATTCAAGACATAAACTAACAGACGAGCTGTATATCAGATGAAGTATATCCGGTGTAGTTACCATAGCCTTTGTTTTGGAATAGAAGGAACCGATAAAATTTGGTTTGTCTTCCTCTTTGAAGCCAATCCCTGAGCCTTGAGGATGTGCAGCATCGTACTGGAATACACATCCGGTAGCGAAATTCATCATTAAAAGTCTGTGTTGTCTGCAGACATCTGCCAAGTTCAAGGTCCCAACCACATTGGTGCGAATTGTCTCGGTTTTGTGAGATTCACACCAATCAACATTGGGTCTACCAGTCACACCAGCAGCATTGAAAACATGGGTTGGCCTTATATTTTGAATATCTGCCACAAGTGATGATCGATCTTCCAGGCGTCCTCGTCCATACTGAAAGGGAATACCTTGTTTCTCACATAACTGACCTAGTAAACCTCCAATCCAGCCGGTCCTGCCGTAGATCAAGAACTTCAAGGCCGGTTTAGGGGAACTTTTGGAGGTGGGAACTATCAATCGGGGAGTCATAGGATCACTCGTAAGTTTTCCGTCTTCGGAATCATAGTGCCTACCACCAGGCATCATCAGCATTCTTGGGTGTGGAAGCAGAGCACCAGACACATCTCCCCACCAATTGGGATTTTTGGTGTACCACTCTATAGTCTTTTTCAAGCCCTCTTCCCATACTGTTCGCTCAGACCATCCCAAGACCTTCAGTTTCTGATCATCAAGAAAATACCTCTGATCATTGAATGGTCTGTTATCAACCAACTTGATGCTCGTCTGGGGATCCATGGAGAAAAGTTTGCATATATCTATGGCTACATCAATCACTCTCCTTTCCTTCTTGGTTCCAATATTATAAACATGGCCAACTTCACCCTTGTGAAGAATGACTTCAAATGCCTCTGCCACATCCTCACAGTACAAGTAACTCCTCACATTTGAACCATCCCCATGAATTGGAAGAGTCTCCCCCCTCATTGCTAAGAGAATGAACTTTGGAATTAATTTTTCAGGGAACTGGTTGGGACCATAAACATTGTTTCCACGGGTTGTAATCACAGGTAATCCATATGATCTACCGTATGCCATTACAAGCATTTCGGCACCGGCTTTTGTAGCAGAGTATGGGTTTGTCGGGAGAAGTTGGGAAGCCTCATGGTTACCTACAACAGCATCCTCATCTGTCTCCCCATAAACCTCATCTGTACTCACATGGATGAACATCCTGATCTGGCCAGTCACTTTGCAGGCTTCAAGTAACACGTGTGCCATAGATATTGTTTTTGGTAAACTCGAAACTGTTTCCAAATGAGTTATCGACATGAGTCTGGGCAGCGAAATGCATTATTGTGTCGATAGACTCGGTGACCAGGAGGTAGTTAACAAGGTCAGCACTGCCGATGTCCCCCTTCACAAACTTAAAGTTTGGAGAGGACTGGGAGGGAAGCAGGTTTTTCAGGTTGGAGCAGTAATCAAGCTTGTCAAGCACAACGATCTTGTAACCGGGGTAGTTCCGAATGAGCCGATTAGCCACATGGGATGCAATAAAACCAGCAGCCCCAGTTATGAGGATGTTCTCGGGTGTATAATTAGTCATTCTCAAAACAATTCTATAAAAAAAATAACAATTAAAAAACAACCTTAAAAACACATCTGCCGACAACATAGTTGATCATGCCATCAAATGCAATAAAATCATATCGATTTGAATTTTAATTTCATTGAATAAATTCGATTAAAAGATTGTTCTATAATTGATCTCTGCATTATTTGTCCCAATTACTTGATCAATGAATCTGATACCAGTAATTAAACAAAGAAACAAATGTCATGTTTCTTTTTATTTCCGTCATCATGTAATAACAGAAAATTAAGAAGCTAACAGGCAACCGAAGCTATGAAATTTGTTCACATTTAACAGCATGTCTAAGAAAATTAAGAAATACCCAGATCATGAAACGGCCTCAATTAAACCAAACTTACAAAGAAACACAATCATTGATCAAATTTGACATAGAAAAAGGGAAGAAACTTGACTTACAAGATGAAGGGAAGAAATCAATCAAAATCCAGATAGAGAAAAGACGCACAAATTCTAGATAGTGAGGGGAAAAAAAGAGTATTGAGGGAGAGGGAAATTGTGGAAACTTCATGTATAAATAGGGGGTGTAAATTATAGAAGGAAGAGACAGTTAAGGGGAGCCATGAAAAATAACATAAATGGATGAAATAATTGACTGGTGTATTGTTTGTTTTGTTGAGTCGTGAGATCAATAGGGTTCGTTGGGAACTAAAATGAATGTCAGGAAGTACGATGTCAGTGAAGGAAATGCATGTCCTACGTTTAGGATTTCTTTTCATCTTTTTATGGTTTGATGTTACGTATTATTATGACCTAAAACTACATGGAATATCACTTAATTATGGATTTAGAAATAAAAAGATTATTTTAAAGAAACCTATAAACACATTGTTTAATTAAAATATTATAATAAATTATTTTATCCTTAAATAATATAAGGAATAATAATGTGGCCGAATATAGTAATAATTTTAATCTTTAAAGTTTATACAATAAGACATAATGTCAAACATTGGCTTTTGTAACACCTTAATCCGATTCGACCTGAAGATTGACCGCCTGAAGTATTACACATGACCACTAAAATGGTTAACTCAAAATTTTTCTTTTAGAAAGACGTCATAATATTCTTAAACTGTACTTATTTAAAATCATCAATTAAAATCATCCATAAAAATGTAAATGTTTAAGTTGTTAATGAGAGCTCCAAACACATATCAAAATAATACACAATAAGGGTTTACAAAATAAAGTTAGAACTAGAATGCATGAAAGTCTATAAATAGTATATATCCTCTAAAATAAACTCAACACATACTCTACTACTGATTGGTCAAGAATGCAGGCTATGCGATAAGCTCCTCGAGATCCTCCTAAGAACCTCTGCACGAAAACAAATTTTGAACGCTGAGCTCACAAACTCATGCCACACTAATAACTAATCTACACTACATGCGTTCATTATATGGTAATGGCTAGCAAGTAAAGGCATGAGCATACATGTCAACACACATGCTGAGGTAGGCATCATGGTATGGTCGAAGGGTTCGTTGTATTTCGGGACATACATCACTCTATTCTACCTAAGGTGAGATCTGAAATTTCTACATTGGAAACGTACACCCGGCCAACCTACTTTTCAAGAGTATAAGGGGTGTCGTAACCGGTTTTCGTCCGGGCACGAATTTTTACTTGAAGGAGAAAATTAATGTGGATAAAATTGATTTTGATTTAAAATAAATATTTTGGGAGTCGCCATTGACCTTTTTGGGTTAGGTAGATCAAATACCTAAAAACAATCTTTTAAAATAGTTTTTAAGAAAACAATATTTAAAAGATAAAACTGATCTGCATATAACCAAAAATTTTAATAAAAATGGGTTCGTGGTCGGTTACATCCAGGGAATGATTAGCACCCCTATAATGCCCAAAATTGGTACTTTATTAATTATAAATTGTCTCTATCATTAGAAATTTAAAAATTCAAAGATATATTTAACTTATAATATTATTTTATTTCAAATTTATGATTTTATGAAAATATATTAATATAAATAAGATATTTATTTATTTAGAAATATCAGAAAAGGGCTTCTAGGTGCTTTAAGACATCTCTTTTCTTTGATATAAAAAAAATAAATAAAACATTTCTTAAAAGTTAATATATGATTTATAAAAATAGGATATTTAGTAAAAATATCAGAAAACAGACTTCTAGGTGTTTTAAGACAGTCCTTTTCTTAATATTGAAAAATAAATATATATTAAAATATGATTATTAAAAGTAATTTATGAAATATAAGATTTTAGATAAATAAACAAATATTATTTATTATATATATATATATTTATTTATATAAATAATAATAATAATAATGAAATAATAATTAAAGCAATAAATAATAATAATAATAATAAAATAATATTGCAAATAATGATTAAAATAAAAGGAATTAAAAATATAGTATTAAAATGTAAAATATTAAAAATTCATAGTCAAAAATGAAAATTTAATGAT